GTATTAGTATTATTAACCGACCTGAATTACAGTTAAACGCTCTTGTTCACGTTATTTTGTAGTTGGCTGTCCTGCTGACTGGCTGAACGTAGAATCAATGTGTTTTGTGTTTAGAGGTGGAAGTAGGACTCTAAACAAAGCTAGGGATTATTGCCAGGTATGTAATTCAACAAGCTGTTGGTTGCTTCAGAGAATTCCTGACCAACGTAATGTTTTCGTTTAGTACTGATGTTCAATTTGGTGCTGTCGCGTTTCTTTCTTTCTGCAGTGTTAGAAAATGACCCCTTTGCAGTGGTGCAAAAATATTGGAATAAAAACTTTTTGACGAAAACTGTTAGAAATATCAAATCTCGACATAAGGCTACTATCAGCTTTTAGTATAGATCTACTAGCGTTCTATCATGAATGCCGTTCTCTGATTGGCTACGCTACCCACTATCTATTCTATGATAGATGGTGAGTAGCGTAGCAGTGTGCCCTTGTTAAGAAAATGACGGCCGCTTCTTTGCGTTTCCGAAGTGTTGTGTGAATAGGATTTAGATAGAGTTTTTAACGACTGGTAGATTTATACTAAAACAATTAAATTATTCGCTCTGGATTTCAATGCGCGATAGTTGACCCGGGCTGCGCCCTCGTCAACTATCACGCGATAAAAATCTCGAGCTCATAATCTAATCGTTTAATATGTTACCTCAAGCTCATACCGGAATCATTTCTCGTCGTCGTATCTTCTGACGTTTGTATTTTACTTGTATTTAAGTACTACGGAGGACATGTGGCATCGCCTTCTATACCAGATGATATGGAATTTATCAATATGGCGATACAGGCATCAAGACCAGATGGAAAACCACCTGTACCTATATGGGTGACAACGGAAAATGACTTGGTATGCAGTTACATTAAAACCAGAGAGTTACAGAGTCTGTAGGTAAACCTAAAAGGTGACGAAGGCAACTAAGAGCACAAAAGTAAATGCTGATTGGCCAAAAGGACACCATTTCACCCAGTTTTTATTCACTTTTTGTTTCCAGGAAGAGGAGAGCGGTGGCGAACGAACAAGTCCTCAGTGTACAGTGATGACACACAACAGAATTCAAAAAGTAGTCTCGTGCAACAGTCTTTATCCTTTTGTCTGCACAAGAATAGCTGGTAAGTCATATGTGATGAGTACATTTCTTGTACTTCTGGATGATTAAACATCAAAGAATAAGTTTACATGGGCACCAACAATGAGTGATCTTCATGGCACCTGTCTCTTTTAGTTATCCGCTGTCCAAATGGTTGTTTTCACAACGGCGACTGTGTTGGTGCCACATGCTTCTGCTATCGAGGCTGGACTGGACGCGACTGTTCTCAGTTTCACTGTAATGACGTGCACAACTGCTCTGGCAATGGGCAATGTGTGGGACCAAATGTGTGCAAATGTACACCAGGATTCATTGTAAGTTTTGCACTCTAGTAAGATAAGCTTAGCTATAAACAATAGAATTTCTGATTACTTATTCTTGTTTTTGCTCTACCTTGTCCTACACATTATCTTCTTTGTGCTTATTAATTGTTGTTGACAGTGCTTACGTCTCAAGAGTAAGTCAGGCATATTTACCTAGAGGGCCAAGGCACCAAGTGGTTAGAGAGAAGTTAGTTTTGTATTCTGAGTGCAAGCCCTGCATACCACAACTCCAAGACTTCAGTCGTATTATGGACTTAGTAAACTGGTCCACCTCCACAACGTTTTCACTATGTTGTATTTATTTGCAGTATTTGATTCAAATTTAATGTAGGTGCAGTGCTACTTGAATGGATAATTAACACAGAACAGAACCATGCAATCAGACCGAGATTCTACTTCCCTTGCTAAACAAAGCACTTATTCCCTCTCAGGGTCGAGGCTGTTCCTATTCCTACTGTACCAAGTTTCACCGCTGTTCGACTTGTTCGCAGGACTCAGCATGCGGCTGGTGCGACAGCTCACAACAATGCATGCCGGGTACCTCTGTTGGGCCTTACGCCAAGCAGTGTCCAGACTGGTTTTACTATACTTGTTACACTATTGGTAGCGTTAACCATTGTTCCAACAAAATACAGGTAAATGTATGTGCTTATTGACGATTCGGACTCGGGAAAGAGGTCAAGAAATTGGCATTTTAAGGAGGCAATCAAAGATGATGTAAAGATTACCAATGAAAATGTTCATATGGGTATCCCTAATTTCATCAATAGTGGGTTGATCTGTGTTTGTTAGTAAAAAGGGGCATTAAATGAGCAGTGAGAAATATTATTGGTCGACATCGATGATTTCAGTGGCCACCTCGAAGACTGTTGTTGTTGTCGTTTTATAGAGGGTCGACTGCACCAACAGACATTGTAATGCCACTCAAGAGACAACTACCTCAGAGTCATGTCAGAAGTGTGAAGATCTAGAGAAGTGCTATAACTTTGTGGTGAGTTCCTTGTAACATTAACGAACATGTTGTGGCAAAAACGGTGGTACAATCAGCTAATGGATTTGCCAAGGACTCCCGACTTACATTTTTTGTAAAGATGGGACCATTGCTCGTGTTGTGGGTTTGGGCCAGACAATTCACCTTTTCAACTGTGATGTAACTTACATTGAATCCAGGAAGTTACCATTCTCGTCCCCAGAAGTGTGGCCTCTGGGGACGAGAATAAGGATTTACTTGGAATGGATTAGCATTCCTTCCAGAAGGAGAAGAATTCTCTCAGTCATAGTCTAGAAAACTAGGACTAGCATCCCAACAAGGACAGCCGCCATATTTCCATTCGCTTGCATATGTCGAGTAGAGCACTTGCAAGGAGCGCGAAATTTCCCGTGGTTTTTTTAATTCCTGAAATTTGAAATTTCCACAAATAAACTAATTCTCTCTGATAAAGAAGGCTTGCTGATTTCTTTATAGGAAAAGGGCAGATGCAGAGCGTGGAATGAAACTCGTTGTCCTCATGGCTTAGTACAAGTCGATTACACAGATCCAAACCGAATAAACAACACCTTAATCAAAAGCAATGTCAAAGTCATCGATCCCAAGACCACCATCATCTACAGCTGTCCCGTCCTCCTTCCTTGTCAAGATGATGCAACGTCGGTGTTTGTCGCCCCTAGAGACCTGGGAATCAAAGCTGGAGACGTGCTATCTAGCGCACAAGCGGGCGGCGTGATGCACAAAGTTAATGACACAACAAACACAGGCAAGATTTACTTTTGTAAAATAGGAGAATCCGTTATTTTGAGTATTGTAAGGTTATTGAGTTCAAAATATTAAGGGACCGGACTCTTTGAAGGTGGAATACAACCTAGCGCCCAGGGGTTTTATTACCTTGGAGCCTTTACACAAACATAATGTCTGTTAATTGTTACTTTGAGCAATTTCTGAAGCCCTATTTTTCTCTGTTCTGGAGCCTTGGATTCTTTAATTTTGGAACAACAAGTGTTTCTATTTTCACAATCTACAGGGCCTTACACGATAATAGTTGGAACACCTTCTAAGATTGAGGACGTGATTCAATATGCCGATTTTACTCAGAAAGTTTCTGCCGTTGAACTGGTTGATGACACAACGCTGGATGAAGAAGCAAACTTAGATGATTTGTATGGTCTCGTGGATGGAAATATTAAGCTAAACAACACCGATCTTCATGTGTTACCAGCAGGTGAATTTCAAAAATATTCAATACAAATTGAATTCTAATTTGAACACGTTGTAATCTGAACAGGTTGTATCGTTCTACTTGTGCGGAATTTATTTATCTGACACACAGTGGAAATTTGTTTTTATTTCACTTGAAAGTAAACCAGTAACAGACTGATCAAAGGACCATGATCTTCTCTCATTTGGTAGTTAACTGAGAGTATTATTTTACTATTTTCAACAACATTTCATTAAAGAGCCGCGCAATCTTTAGGATTGTTGATTATCTAATTGAGGCTCCTTTAGGTTCGTATCCTCCTGGCGTTCAGCTAGCTTACAAATAAAGCATGTCGGATGGGATGAAGAGAAAACATTCTGTATTTGATCGATCTATTGATCAATTTAACGTGAATTTGACTTTTAGACACGTCAGTTTTCAAGTGCGTAGGACACATTTACAAAGTGGACGATGATTTAGTGACCTCTCAGTTTCTGGTAATACACAAAGATCACGCCATAAGTGTTAGACCAGGGGATGTAGTGGTATCTGCACAGAGTCATGGATTTATAGAGAAGGTGGTTAGAGTCAACCAAACTTCAGATATGGTGTTCATGGAAACAGAACTTGACAGGTGCACAGAGAACTCTACCTGGACACACAAGTAAGGGCGTAAGGGGCAATGGATATTACTTAATTTTCACAGTTTAGAATAAGCTTTACCGAGAAACCTAAAGGATATTGTCTAGATTTACTTGTATCAAAGAACATTAAAAAAACTATACCTTTTTGATAAGCATTCGCTAGCAGCAAATAAGAGCTAATATTTCAAGTTTGGAAGCAATGAATAAGGTTTCCATTGAGAGGCAAGTTGGTAACTTGTCTAGATAGCCCTATAGCTAGAGGTCTTATTTTTAATGAATTGCTTTAACGGGTTAGGGTTAGTGGTTAGGGTTAGGGTTAGGGTTTAGGTTAAGGATGGTTTTTTCGTTACTTAAATGCATGCTCCATAAAGCATATAGTAATTGACAGAGGGCTGTTGAGTTATGTGTCTGAATAGCGTTTATCTTAGCAAAATAAATGGCGCTGTCTTAACACGATTTTAACTAGGCTTTTTTCTTGCTTCCTTAAGGTTTAAGCCTCGTGTGCAAGGTTCACCATCTGACAATGATATGGTCTGTACCGGTGGTGATAACAGTTATGGATTAATAATCACTGAACCTGACGGTGAACAACAGCAAATATCGGTTAACGATTCCATCATCGGAAGAAGCAGTAACCCCTTTATTGCAAAGGTTGGAAACGTGTTTTTACCTGAAATACAGTTACCATCCTCTCGTGATTAGCGAAACTGAAGTAATTCGAAGTAGTCAAATTACTGACCTCTCAGATAGCACAATTATCCAATGAAGCCTCGTAACTGAATTTTTTAAATGGTGGTAAGGGTGTGAAAGAAAACGCGATTGATTAAGGGTATGTGTCGCTAGAGTATGCTTCTTGCTATGCCTAGTATATTCGTAACATATTTTTGTGCCGGGATACATGCATACATATACTTCATTTCCTCTGGAATGCGCATCTTCGTTTGCTTAGCATTAGCGTCAAGAACTATTACCGCGTCTATTCGGATTTCCTTTCTTCGAAGGGGGAAATTAGTTACACTTCCAGTCGATTGAAGCTTCGGCGTCGGAGCTGCCAGACCAATTTCCGGCTTTTCCAATCCCTAAAATTGTAGTGTGTTCACTCGAGTCTTAATCATTTCCCATTATTTCTAGGTGGTGGAATCACATGTTACCGGGGAATTTATCCTGATTGAGGTTCTTCCAGTTCAGTCTATTTTTAATGGTACAGATAATACCATCGTAAGTCTGGACCAACTGCACAAAGAACACAGAAGGCATAAGAGGGATATAGACAAGGAGACAGTAAGATTTAGGAAGACTCATCGGGCGGAAAATAAATTATCGGTAAGTGTAGAAAGTTATCGCTGAAGTGACCAAAATGGGGGAAATGAATCGAATGTAAGTACTATGGTCATAGATCAGTCAGCCAGTTGATCGGTCGATTGCGTGAATGAGTTATCGACTGATTTACCCAGAAACTGACTGGTTGGCTTACTGACTGACCGATTAACTAACGGACTGACTGACTGACTGACTGACTGACCGACTGACTGGTGGACTGACTGACTGACTGACTGACTGACTGACTGTGATTGACTGACTGACTGACTGTGATTGACTGACTGACTGACTGTGATTGACTGACTGACTGACTGTGATTGACTGACTGACTGACTAAGGGCCTCCACAGACTAGACATTTAGTTGTCGACAACTATTTTTTATCCGATGACAAGTAGTTGTAATCGACAACTAAATGTTATTGACAACTTAAAAACGTAGTGCGTGAGATGAATTGTCGACAACTGAACGCAAAATTTTAGTTTTCGCTTACTAAGTAGTTTCCCTTTTGGAGAAGGGAAACTGCTTTAGTTGTTGACAACTACGTTTTCACCGTTTTTACCCGTTTTATGGGAATCATTGGTTTAGTTGTCCACAACATCGAAACATGACACACGTTTGAGCGTGCGTATTGTGTTTTAAGCATGCGTAGTGAACGTTAGTTTCCAAGATCTCGCTGACCTGACTTAGACATCGAAAACTAACACGCCAATATGTGGAATACTAGCATCGGACACAATTAGTTGTTGATAACAAATAGCTGTCGAGAACTAAGTGTCCAGTCTATGGAGGCCCTTACTGAGTTTGCCACCAACCTGCCGACCTTTTGATGTGTCAGACAAGAAGACCGACCGACCGACCGACCGACCGACCGACAGCAGGCCGGGGGCTGGGTGGCTGTAGGTTGGTCTACCCTCTTAGTTAACATACCGACCTTAGTTTGCTAATTAATTGACCTGCTTGCTTTTGTTTTAATGCATAGATTGCTGGTGGCAGGGGATACATCAATGTCCAACAGACGTTCAAAATGAATGCGGACTTTATTGTGTCCATGGGAGTATTCACTGACAGGAATGAAAATGGTGAACTTATCATCACGGACGCGTTGTTTGGTTTGGAGATGATAGGCGAAGTCAACTACGATGTGGATGTGCAGATTGGAATTGAAGTCAAGTAGGTGACTAAAATATGTGATAGAAGAATGTGATGGTTGTCGTCGTCGTTGTTGTTCTTGGGGTCACCTTCAGTTGTTTTCAAGTTATTGTCCTTCCTTGTAAATGTCGCCGTCCTTCTCGTCGTCCCTATCGATGCAATTCTCGATAAAATTGTAGATATGAAGCGTACCGTGAAAATCTTTTTAACGTTTATGTCGTTTTCTGTCTGTTTTCCCCCTTGCAGTCGCGAATATACTGTGAAAAAGTGGAAAATTCTTCGTCCAGTGCAGATAGGACCAAACTTTTGCATCCCCATCACTGGTGTGTGCATACCATGTGCCTTCTTCCTGGAAGCAGACGCCAACGCAGTAGTAAAAGTTGTGGTAAGTCCTGGTTAAAGTTTTTGTTACGCCTTTTTTTTTTTCGCTTAAGCTTGTGAGAGGCGCGGAACATGGCTAGCAAAAAATGAGCGCGTTGGACTCAGGATCTAGTGGTCTTGGTCCCGCCAAACCTTACCCTGAGTCAAGATGAGGTATTCTTGGAATTGATGTACTTTTGGATATCTCAGGGACCTCCATGTTTGTTTACATTGCTGTTAAGAATTCTCAGTGATATAGCTGCGCCTAAGGAGACTTTGAAAACTGGACATAGTGAGAAATCGAAGTGAATTAAAAATAAAATGGGATTAAGTAAGAACAAGGTACTCGATAAGACGCATTTGCTTTTTGTTGTTACTGTTACGCAGGGAAAGGCTTATGTTCCACTGTCGCTGAGGACCTCAGTTCGTTTAGGGATGGGTGGATTCTGCACCAGAAGAGGCGGATGTAACACCATCAGTCCTCTCGTAAGTACTGCAAAGCAATGCTGTTGTCTTAGGCACGTTTTACTATCCTGGCTAACCAACCTTCCTCGATCCCAGATTACGCTGGAATTTTAAGTAGAGTCGATTTCTGAGGAGGACGTAAAACCAGAAGATGTCAGTGGAGAAACGCTTGGAAAGAGGCACATTCCATCAACAAATTAAACACCCATCCAAGTCTGACCGGATGGGAAACATTGCCGGGGGATCGAGGCAAGGTTACCTAACCTCGCCATCCTTGCTTTCTCCTAGATGAGATGAACTTGATTTCCTCGGTTACTTCAGTGTATAAGGTGTAATAAAGATTTTTATTTTCATCTTTTTTATTGAAATATTGTTGAAACATGCATGTACACAATTCACAATTATTTGTATACTTTATAGTCACTGTTTTTTAAGAGTCCTAAATTAGTCCATCTAACGTATCTCAATTATATTATTTCTGTGATTCATTTTATCACTTAGTAAAGCTAAAATGCCTTGTTTTTCAGTTCAAGTTTACTCGTCGTTTAACTAAAGACCGGGTTAAAGCAGAATCCGAGATATCAACAGAAGTTCTGTTCACTCCTAAATTGACATTTAGACTTCCATCTCTGCCAAGAATTCTAAGAAACCTAGTGAATAGGTTTAACAACCTTTGGAAAAAAGTCTTCAAAAAATTCCGTAAGTAACACGCTATCACAATGTTCTGCTTTATAAAGTAACTTTGTTGGTAGACTGCAGTCACGCTCGCTTTGCATTCTTCTCTACACGGGATTTCGAGCGAAAGAGACACTGGTCGCAGTCTACTTTGTTGGTAAAATAATGCTTTGATTTGCTACAACCTTGGTCCTGATTGTTACAACAATGGTTGATGTTATCCTCTGTATAAATCAAGTAGTATCTAGTGGATAGTGTTATCGGGTTCACTATTTACACGTATCCACTGGATAGTGATACATCTGGGGTCAGTTGTTCAAAGGGTAGATATCGCTATCCACGTGCACTAGATAAATCGCTATCCAGTGGATAAGTGTTAGAAAAACAAGCTATCCAGCAGATAGTGATTTATCCGGTGGATAATTTTGCAAACGCTTTGAACAAGTGAGGCCTGATTGATAATGTTATTAGGGCTAAATATTTACGTTAGCGTCTACAACGTCAGCTTAGTTAGTGGGAAGAACTATGCTTAATCGCGCATAATGTAACTGATACCAAATTTTGTTGAAATTGTATGTTATCCGAGTGTTCGATGTTTAGGCTTATTACTATCGACGTTTTGTCAAGTCACAAGTCATAAAGTCATTCAAATTTCCTAACAATTGCCATTGGAAAAAAATTGTAACACTGCATTGTGCATCCGCGGGCAATTCGCGTAAAAACGTGTATACCTACATGTACAGCAGATTTTCAGAATTTTTTAAGCTTATGTTTACCTTTTATCTCATTGCAGTTGGTTACAGCCCTTGTGGTGGCTCACGTACCCGTGATTTTTCAATCCTTCGACTCAGTACCGAGGTTCCTTTTGGAATAAAGGCTGCTGTCAAACCCTGCAGTGACAAGTGTAAAAGCGAAAGAAAGCCATTCGAGCTCGCACTCAGTTTCGGATTCTCGGAAGCTGTCGGACGACTGTCGATTGGCTTCGGAGCAACGAGTTACGAGTTGGCTGCTTTGAGTCGAAAGTTGTACAGTGGAGGGTGGGAGCCGAGGTACGTTTGTTTAATTACATAAAGAGGTCAGCCTATGACTTCTCTCCCCTCGGGGGAAGGGATATTTCCAGATATGGGCTATATATATAGGCAGCTGTCGTGGAATAGGGTAGGGTTTTTGAGGTTCTCGATTCTTTTAAATAGGGCACCATTTTTGACCCTGTTGGCACTATGGTCCCCGTGTGATCCTTAGATAGGGTACCTAAATTGTACCAGCTAAAATCACAGTGCGTAAAGGCCTAGACTGTTCACAGTCCCCTATTTTTCCGTGAGATCGTAGATGTCGATCGTTGAGTTTCGACGGGCCGCCATCTTGATCTCTTGATGCGAGCGAAACTGGAGAGAGTACAAAGTGCCCGTGGGTAGGGGTGGTGGAGGGCACGGCTGGCGGAAAAAAATTTTTTTTCCCGCCCCGTCACCCCTACGCTATTAACCCCACCGCCATTACCCACGGGCATTTTGTACTCTCTCCGGTTTCGCTCGCATAAAGAGACCAAGATGGCGGCCCGTCGAAGCTCAACAATCGACATCTACGATCTCACGGAAAAATAGGGGACTGTGAACAGTCTAGTAAATGCCCAGCCAAACGAGAAACAAATGGTCTGTTAAAACTGAACTATTTGTAAACTTGCAATGTTACACCAACGAAATAAAGCATTTTTTTTATTCTTAGTTCCGTTTTTCTCTTCAATAGGGTGTCATTTTTAGGGTTTGGGCCTTAAATAGGGTACTTCATCCTTAAATAAGGTCAGGGTTGGTTTAGTTTAAGACCCCTCCCCAGACCAGTCAATCACTCATCAATGAAGACATCAATAATGATATGATCTAGTCGTGAATGTCAAATGCCTTGAAGTATTTAAACTAACAGTTTCAATCTGTGCTATGTACACCAAACAGCAAAGAGGTGATTCAAGGACCAAAAGTTTACTTAGGGTCTTGATCTTGAGGGATATTTGCAGTTAACGTTAACGTGTCTTCAGTTTGTAGTTTTCCGCATCGTGTCCTAAGGCCCGTTAATTCTCTAAGGTCCCGAAAAGTTTTCGCACCAGAAAAGCCGTAGCAAAATCTCAAGCCTTATGATTACAGAGCTTTTTTATTCGCATATACTAAATATGGACAGAGGCTCCCTTCATACAAGACGTTTCAGACGCATACACCTCTCTGCTTTTAGATAAAGATGAACTAAAAATGACTTTACGGGCCCGGAAAAATCCCGGGGCTTTCGAGAAACGGGCCCCTGATCCGACATCGATATCTTGATTGGGGGAATGAAGAACTGAACGCACCTAGAAAGACGTATTATTAACCCCTTCAGTGATAAGTTCAAAATATTTTATCTTTCTACTGACAGCGATACAGTTGCTTTTATGTCACTGAGATTTTGGTGGTACATCAAGACATTCATACCTAGTTTATTACTTTCTATATTCTTGTAACTTGTCTATCCTGATAATGTTAAGTATTGGTATTGTGATAAGAAACTAGATTTGATCAATTGTGGGGATTAAAGGAATAACTACAGCTTGGTAGGGATTTACTGGTAGAAATAAATCATTTTTGTCAACTCTCAATCTACATGAGCTGGAGTTTACAATTTTGTAATGTACTTAGTCAAAGGTTTTTTTCTGTTGTTGTTGTTCTCTGTTTACAGCTTTTGCCTTCCATGCGAAAATTCCAAGGTAAGTCGATTTTGCTTACTATTCGCATTTGGTGCTTCTAAGCGTCATAAAAGTACTTTGATTGTTAGACCGTGTGCGACTCTCCCTTTGGATGATTTTAGAAACCCTCTAACTGCACATTTTGAATAATGCAGCTCAGCATGACGCATCGAGGAAGACATGTCTGTTGCTTAGCAACCGTGGTGAAGGAAATGAAGGTTTATTCATGTATTTTTCGCGGATAGTATATTGCAAGCAGTTTTTTAGAATGAATTACGTTGTTGACGCACAAACGATGTCGTCACACCAGACAAAAAAAATAATACTACAGGCGGAAATTATTACAATAAATGTCATGAGGAATTTCTTGACCGTTTGTAAGGTCTGTCCGTTCATGGCTACAAGACAAGTTTTCAAATAGAAAAATTGCATAGCTGTGGTATGATCTGATTTACGTAGCTTAATGTTTTAAATGGTTCCTTTCAGCCTGCATGTGGATGTCCAACAACGCCACCGCCAACGACAACAGAGCGAACAACAACTGAGCGAACCACAACAGTAAAAACAACGGCGGCGACTACAGAGCTTACTACCGGAATTGCAACAACTGTCGCTACAACGGAGTTAACCACCGGGACTGCTACAACCGCAGGTACAACAGAACGGACAACTGTCACCGGGACAACCAAAGCGACAACTCCGCATACCGGCGAAAGTACTACTCCATACACTGAAACCACACCCGCTCCTACAACTCCCGGTACAACTCCACCACCGACCACCCCACCCCCGTGCGAATGCGCTGATGGAGAGACGGGGATCCTTGATGAAAATGGAAATTGTGACTGTCCACCGTAAGTGTGTAAAAGGGACTCAATGAACAGCAATAACAACAATAAAAATCTTTATTTGGTTCTTAAATTTACCTTTTTTAGAGTTAGACTGGCCCGTAGATAGCTAGAGCTAGCCTAGAAGGGCCAGTTATCAAGATCAAGAGATAATCAACATAAGCTCTTGTCAATATCTAATTACAAATTCATTGTTGCATAGACACTTAGAGCGAATTATTTGAATCGCCCAATTGTAATATCGAAATTGTTATCGCAGTTTGTGGAATAGAGGCTTTGAACACTGCAGCTAAAGTGTAAATAGTAAAGAACAAAAATATTTATCAATCGGAATTGCTTAGAATATTCTATTACAGTTTTTAGACCCGATTTCCCTCTTTTTGATCAAGGGATTGAACGACACTTTTTCGAAAAGAAAAAGGAGTCCTGCCAAACTGGAGGGCAACCCTGAATATAACCAAGTTTGTCGATATTGTAGGTTTTATCATTTCCAGCCTCAACACCGTTAGTCGTCCTGACTGACCTTTTTATGACGCCTAGCGCTTCATAAAACAAAACTATTCTTCTAGATTTCTTATCGTAAAGTCATGCCTTCTTTTACAACATTTCTTTCTCTCAATTACGCTGAAATCACAAACTAAACACAGCAAGAGGGTCATTTGACGAATGAGTAAATCTAGTTTCTTCCTTCTTCCGGTTTTTTTCTTTTTGCCGAAATATTTATCTTCTTTCGTTAATTTTAAGGGAATGCCCGAAAGGAAAAAAAGCTGTTATTGTGAACAATCGTTACGAATGCCCGGATCATCCACCGTGTGGCGAACACCCGAACTGTGTTGTGGGACGGAAAGGACCCGGATGTTCTCAACCCGACGTACAACCTTGCTCAGGTGAGGTTTGATTTGAAATTTTTCATAATCAATATTGAGTTGCTTTTTTGATGTACACGATTGCCTAGTTACCAACCTACTTTCTGGTCAACAATGTGTCAAGCGAGCGAATCCTTTTCTTATTATATCTAAAGGGATTGCTTCATTTTCTTTCAGCGGACTGTTCTGGTAATGGTGTGGCAGTAGCTGTGGGAGATTGTGGGTCTCGCTGTGTTTGCTCGGTCAGGTGGACTGGAACTTGCTGCGAAACGAGGCGGCCGTGGAGGAACTCGGGCGATCCTCATCTGGAGACATTAGATGGTAGGCCAGTCTTACGTACCACACAAAGAAAAATTGTCTTGTGAGATGTTTTGACCGACAAGGAATTTGTTTTTCTTCTAAAGTAATCATAATTTCTTGCTTCCTCTTCAGGAATCGAATACGATTACTACGGTATTGGTGAATTTTGGGGTTGTAAATCTCTCTTCAATGACTTTGGAATGCAGTTCCGTTACTTTGCTTACGAGCGCGCGTCATTGACAGGAGGCGTGGCTGTCAAGGCGGGGCTGAGTGTACTGTCAGTCATGACTGTCAACACGACTGACCCGAAAGAATTTCCAAAACTACGGTAACTTATTTTTAATAATCCTATTCTTGCTTATATTCAAGGTGTGTAAAACACTTTTCCACTCTTGCGTCAATTGGGAAGCACATTTTAGCTGAAGGACAGGTTTTATGTAACGTACATTTTACTCTATATCATTATCTTACCCCAGTTGGTAATCAATTGTTATAAGAACCAGTGGCTTTCAGATTCTCAAAGTCAGAGACAAATGAGACAAATTGTATAAAATCAGTGGAGAGTGGCTACAGATGGGACATAGTACTACATTATATTGCCACTGTACTTAAAGATGCCGGTATAATTTCCTCCAATCTTTTATTTCACACGGCTCAAGGTACTATCCTCTTTTTGTGAACATGTTTTGCTACTTTCTACAGAATCGACGGACAGCTGGTGAACTTAACAGCTCGTGTTGGTCAGAAGATGAAGCTTGATAATGGAACAGTCGTAATGGATATACAAAAGACTTTCAGCTCACAATCAGACGAGACAGGAGTCGTGCTCATTTCGTTACAATACGAGTCAGGTTTGTTAACCTCTTTACGGTGGGGCTTTGGTAAAACACTATGAAATAGCACAATTCTCAGAAAAAAACGAAGAGCGATTTCTATAAAGTCTAATCTTGTCATAACTGGTTATATATCCATTTAGGTTCCTTTGCAATGTTGGTATTAAGAACCTAGCTTAAAATAAAGGGAGGAAAATAATTTGCCCCTTGTATGCTACGTGTTTCCACGATTGGCTAATGCATTTACATGCAACAAACACTCTTTCTTTATTTGGGACATTCTGCCGAAAATAACAGCTATCATTAGCACCCATGATCCAATATCAACGTCGCAATTTATTGCAAACTGTTATGTCTACAATATAGGTCTAACAATAACAGCGGATGTACGTCACAGTCACGTGATGGGGCGTCAGTACCTGAATGTGCTGTTTACACCGACAGCGGCGTTTAAAGGTCACACGGAGGGACTCTGTGGAGTCATGGATAATGACCCGTCCAACGACTTAAAGGGCCCCGATGATGAACAGTATAAAGATCTTATTCAGTTCGCCGATTCCTGTAAGTGGAAAGTAATATGTATTAAATGTAGAGATGCATTTAAGATAATTAATCAATATTTATTTGGCATGGCGACAGTAAGTAATGGGAAAAGGCACGTCACGTTTTTGGAGCTAGGCGTATCCCAAAAACCATTTAAGTCGAACAATGGTTTTCAAACGCAAACAATGTTCGTATAAACCTTTGAGAACAGTTAGTGTCGACTTGGTTTAGGTTTAGATTTATTGTATAAGTTAACATTATGCATTAANTGACAGAATGCGGGTGGTGCGGACAGACTCGTACCCAGTCGCTAACTACGTGTTTTGGGGAGAGAAGACTGGATACTAGGGTGGATTAAGAAGCGCAGGGTGTCATGGGATAACTCCCCGCGCGCTCTACTCGGTCCAGACTGCTTTCTCTTTGAAACAATCCAATCTGGCCCGTAAATAGCGACTGGGTGCGAGTCTGGTGCGGACGCGTAGTTTCCTTGGCGCCAAATAACTTCGCAATAATTTTATTTGGCGCTTGGAGTGCTATTTTGTTTTGGGAGCTGAAAGAAGGGAAACAGGCCGTTTATTAAGGAGAATGCTGTGCTAATTTCTGACATCTAATACTCATGTGTACAACGAAAGAGAGATCTCTTATTTGAAGGAATTGTGCTGTTGCATGGAAATGACAGTCGAGATAATTTTCCTTTATCAAAAGTATGATGTGAATTGGTCAAAAGAAAGATAAACCACGGACGGATGATCCCAGTGTATTCGGATGACGACGTAATTGAAAAAGGAATAGTTAGGCTTCCGTACGGGGAGGGGGGTGGCTGCTTACTGGAATAGGGGCACTTATTAACAAAACCACGCGCTTATAGGAAGGAAGGCGCTAAATCGAATCCTAACGGTAACTGACAAATATTGTGAGCTTTGTAGGAGGGCCGGACGGGAGAATATTTGCCTCTGTTAGTTATCGCTGTATATTTCTATGAGCTTTGCTCTAAAGCAAGTAGTTAATTATCCTTCGATAGATATTGCTTGATACTTGGTCGAGTTACGTAAAATCAGAAGATATTCGCCTATGGGGCCCGTTTCTCGAAGGTCCCGAAAACTTTTCGCACCCGAAAAGCCGTAGCAAAATCTCAAACCCTTTCACTACCCAGCTGTTTTATTCATATATTCTTAATACGAACAGGGGTTCTCGTCATACAAGAAGTTTCAGGCGTATACACCTCTCTGTCTTTAAATACCCATTAACTAAGCATGGCTTTTCGGGCCCGAAAAGATTCCGGGGCTTTCGAGAAACGGGCCCAAGGACAATTGTTGTACTGACTAAACACATCGTCACTAAAGCGCAGTTTTCATTGCTCTCCAAAATCGGTTGATTGAGTCTCCTTGAGCTCTCTTCCAAATATGAAAAACGCATAGCGTTACAAGGACTTCCTGACCATATGAATATCTTGACAGTTTGTTGAATAATCACGACAACGAAGGATATACGAGCTTATTTTCAGGTAATTGTTCGCTACTGAAACGTTGCTGCAACAAACCCACGGGATATTTCGGGTTTTTTGATGGTTTTCTAGCACCTGCGTTCACACTTGTAAAGAATGAGCTTAACGAGAATGCTCCCGTAAAGAAATGGAAAACCTTTGCATTAAGTCTAGAAATATATAAATAAATGAAGTTGTTGTCTTCTTATTAAAACGCTGCAATATACAGTGGAACCTGGATTTAACGAATCTCTATATAACGAAGTCCTCGGTACAACGAACGATATTCCTCGCCCCAGTAATAGTAAAATATATGGAAAAGAACCTCGATACGACGAAACTTGGTTATAGCCAACATAGTTTGCCAGTCCCTTGGCCCTTCGCTACATCGAGGTTCTACTGTAGATCATTATATGTTATTCGGATGTGACTAGTCGGGCNTCGTTATTCTTAAGCTTATGCTTATGTCATGGGTGTTCTCACTTGCTTATGCGAGTGCTTGTGCTTATGCACCAGTGAAAACCAGCCTTTAAGCCTGGTTCACACTTGTGAGATAAGCATAACACAAGTAAAATAAGCATAAACGCAAGCACAAGAAAAAAGGAACATGTTTCTTTTTCTTGTGCTTATGCTTGTACTTATTTCACTTGCGTTATGCTTTTTTCGCAAGTGTGAACCAGGCTTTACGGCCACTTTCCTCTGTACCCAAGGCGGCCGTTGTGGTGAGGTTCGACTGTAGTATACTGGGGTAGTATGCGAGCATCCCAGGGTCAAATTATGTCTGTGACGAATTAATAGTCAAAGATGGATAGTTTTTGTGCCAGCTGGGACAGATAATAATTTGTCTAAACACTGAAATGATATCAAGACGGAGCAGTTGGTCAGTCTCGAATGCCAGACTCAGTTCTAGAACCTTGCAACAGTATTAACTTTTCAACAGTGCTAATTGTTCTGGACATGAGAAGCTATATCATAAGCTTACCGAATGATCAACCTCTGAAAGCCTTTGTCTCACTTGAGGCGGAGTATGGTGTCGAGATTTCAGAGAGGGAGTAAATGTCAGACTCTTCGCACGAAGCATCGGCCACAGTGCCTCTCATAAATCCAGACGGTGTGAACGGCGTGTCATCTGGCAGTCTTTTGTTCCTAGGGGTGTTACCTGCACAATACCTTAAATGCTCTTTTGGTGAAACAAAATCTTCCGGGTTGGACACAGACATTGTGCGCTTGTGCTTGGATAGCGGACGATGAATCACTCCCGAGGGTGTACTCAAACCCAGTCTGGATAGGTAAGGGCTGCCTCTGTATAATGGTGTTTTAAGAGAAACGAAATCTGGAGAGTCAACGACATCAAATGCCACTCTTTTCTTAAGTGCTGGTGTCTTGGCATTAGTACTTCTTATAGCTGTGTTTCTTCCTAGGATAGGTGACAGCGCAGTTCTCGGAAAAGCATTGGGAGATTCCATTGACTTAATCAATGGTGTTGATGCATTAATCTGTTCTGCACGGATAATCTGGGATGAGGAAACAAGGAATATCAGTTGCAGTTTTACATACACTACTGTTTGGAATTGGAGTAATTACTGAGTGACAAAGTTTCCTCAAGTTTGTTCCTTTTTAGTTCCTGGTTTTTAGTTTCATTTGATTTGAAATTCACATAATGTGAAAATGACTTAATATATGTCTAGCTAAATGTTGAACAAAGAAAAGATAGTGGCTAACAATCTTTGGCCATTGATCCATTAGACACAAAATAGTCCCACTTTACTCTCTAAAACCTGGGCAAAAATGTCAGTGCTACCAGCATTCTAAACTCCTTTTCACTTATTAGCAAATTCTACGTGCTCATTTTACAGCATTTATTAACAATTTGGTAAACCTTGATGCTGATCTCTTTTACAACAGCTTACTCTAACAAGCACTGTAATCTGTTTGAAATCCAACTACATTTACCAGAAATACTAGCAATTCAGGAATTATTTTATGGATAGAAACAAGATGCCAGTGAAGCACAAACCTTCTTTGAGAGAGGAGTGAATGGTGGCGTGCCAGGGTGCACTTTCCCAAACTGAAATGAAGATTTGCAAAAACTTGAAATAGCAAGGCAGAACACCCTAAAAATGGTTTAGGGTTTGGTACAAGTAAGAGTAAGCAGGTAATGTTTCATTGGTTAGCTTCTATTGAGGGTGTTCTGTCTAGTCAGTTGCATGATTTTCCCATGCTCCATGTGTTCCCTGGTGAAAATATTTCAAGAATCCCACAGGATCCTTCAGGATCTTCATGAGGATCCTCAAAAGTCATAGTCAAGATCTTTTAGGATCTTTACAATGGCCAAATCCTTCTATGAGATGTGCCTGGAGAGAATCATGGTAGTTGTATTCAACAAAACAAACATCCAGTCTAAGATGATGAATACAACTACCATGATTCCCTGCAGGCACATCACATAGAGGGAATTGGCCATTCTTGCCAGGATCTCAAAGATCTTCCACAAGATCCTCAAAAAGATTTTCCCCAAAGATCAGGGCCAGGCAATGATCTTTGCAGTCATGCACAGATCTTAAAATATAAAATTCTGGTTTAGCCAACCCCTCCCCTCCCTCTTATAGTCCCCTGTTTGTAGGCCATCTATATCTTTATGCAAAGAACAGTTTCACTTTTCAGCAAGTGTTTTTGAATTCTCAGCCAATTTAATGATTATAAGGTCAATTTTTATCATTAGCCAATAAAAATACACCATCCATCAGTTGATATCCAAGCCAGTGTTTCTGAAAATCAAACGGAACATCACTCAGAGATATTTAATTACTCGAGGTAATTAGATGTAATAAGATTCATCTATGCACAAATTGAAAGTAAAATTTAGTCAAATCTTGTTGATATAGTTACATACCCTTTGTAAGAATTTCTGCTTGACTGGCCCATCTGGCAAATCAATGACATGATTGTACAGCTGTACTAAAGCATCTGTAGTGGTTTGTTTGACTGTTTGTTTATGGGACGTTTTGTCCATCTGCTGACAGAATGTGCGAGTTACTGGCAGTTCCTCCTGCTGAGACAAAAGAGGCTACGATGATTTATCACCAACTAATAAACAGATCACATAAATACTCCAAATTTAAATAATGATACCTGCATGTAAGAAAACCTTTAGTCTCTGGCATATGTTTCCAGACAAAGTGAAAGATTTCTACAATCAATGCAAGGCTAAGGTTTTCAGCAAAAATTGTTATTCAGAGACAGTGAGATTTTAGTCTCCTTTGCATCCACTCAGGCCAACATCATGGAAAGCTCCCTCTGTTCCCACGCGGCTGCTTCAAACTGATACTGACATTCCTCTCTTGAAATAAACATTAACCAACCACAGTACCACTTCCATTACCTTGCAAAGGTTCATGCCACAAGATGTCAAAAAAAAAAANAATCAGCATTTTCCCTGGAAAGAAAAAATCAAGATGGCAAGCAATGCTGTAATTCAGATACAGCATATAAAATCACTAGGCACTGACTGGTCCAAGTACATGTAAAAATAGGGCGAACAATGGGAAAGGAATCTATGTTGGTGTGAAGCAGCTGTGTGAGCCCAAGCAGATGCAAAGAAAACTACTGACACTTATGTAGACTTGCCACAAGTCGACCTTTTCTTAATCCTTGACTTATTTATTTTCCTCAAGTGAAGCGAGAGGGTGATCTTTGAGCGACTCGCTGCGAGGGCGAGCGTGAGCGAAACCTGGGGGCGAAACCAACAGGCCAGTGAAGAACTATTAGAATTAGGACTTTTAGAAAGTCTAACACTTATGCAATGTTGCAGTCTTTACTAGAGTTATGTTTACTACAGAATTATAATTTATAATTATAGTTTAGTATTACATGATATTGTTTTACGTCTTATCAAACAGAACAACAACAGTGTACGATAAGCTAATTAACAAACAATGCAGTTAATCACGCAATTATCCATATAGCTGAAAACAAATTTTGTCTGCAGCTGAGAGAGACTGGGCATGTTTGAACCTCTACACATCAGCATGTTGTTACATGTTAGTTTGGGGTATTCTTATCCCTTTAAAACTGACTCACGCTTCCCTTTTTAATAACTTCTTCTGCTGCTTCAATCTCCTCTATGAGACCTTTTGGAATCTGACAAGGAAAAAAGAAAAAGTAATTACTTTGTATATTGATCAACCAACTGACTCCCTTGAATCTCCACATGATCATTTCAAACGTACAAGTCATGTAATTTTAAGGTGGTTCACCATTCCATAGCAGAGGGTAATCATTTATTGCCTTGCATGCACTAGTGTTGTGTTTTGAATGCTGACTCAAACGTATTAAATGTAATAAGCAATGATGAAATAGTGTTTTACAATTATCTCTGTTAAAATCTTGGCTTTTAGTGTTTAATTATAAATGGCCAGGCAAATGTGTTTTTTACCACTCATATGGTTTTACTGGTGATTTTCTTGAATTTCCTTCTGTGAAATCTTCCAAAAATTTCACAGTACATCGAACCTGGCAGGACACAAATTTTAAATGGAAAAAAGTAGGTTTATACGGGCAGTTTTTTCATATTTTGCAAATTTATGTCTTTTACTGCTGCAGAAAAACTGATCTGATTGATTTCCTTGACAAAAAACTTCAACTAAAGTAAACATCTGTTTCTTTTTCTTTTTTTCCCCTCCTTTTTTATTTGATTATCTCACCTAACTTACAATACTTACTTTGGTTAATAATTAATATTATTATATGGCTAGCATCGTGAGTGGGCAAGATGAATCAAATCCTGCGCTGTGATTGGCTACCTGAGTGGGCAAGATGGAGCTATCTTGCCCACTCGGGACTACCCGGCACNGTGACAAGGTCACTTTAGTTCATTTTCAGTTCTAATTTTCAAACTATTTTTTTTATTAGTGTTGTGCTATTATTCTTCTTACTATTTGGGTTACTTACATTAGTTTGGTTTCCTTACACACCTTATTTTGGTATGTGTTGGTGGTTCATTCCCACACACTTCTCTTAGCTGAATCCTGTTGTGTATGAAAAGTTACCTCCTAGTTCCCTTAGGTAAATCCTGTATTCATGGGCAACAAATAGACTCCCTAGCCTTTTTTGGTTTAGAGTTATTCTGACCTACAGTTTCCTTAAATCTGTTTTAAATTGGCAACCATTTGTTCAGCAAATTCAGTTGGTTTATTCTGAGCTATACTCAAGTTCTCAAGTCAAGCACTGGTTTAGCTCAAATGCTATATTCTCAACAACCCTTGTGTTACTCGTTCCAGTTTTTTTGTTCTTTGTCCCCGTTGTTATTGTTTCTGCTATTTTTGCCAATAAACTTGCAAAATTGTACACTCGTATCTGTCGTTGCTATGTCGACCGTTTTGGCCGTCTTACATGTATATTCTCTTCTGTCCAAATTATATTGGTCACTTTAGCTCAGGTTTTCAAAACCTCGTTCACTTACGTGTTAGACACTTTATGTGAAGTTTTTTTCAGAACTATACCCTCACAAGGACATCTGAACTCCTTAACTTTTGCTAGAAGCAGAAGCTGCATAATCTTAATTTAAAATACTTTTGAATCGCAAAATTACAATCTCATTATTACGGTGAGTATGAAAACTAGCAGACTATAACATAATATACATAATATAAATCTTTTGAAAAAAGTACATTGGTACCTTTCTGAAGTCCATAATGTTTGGTGAGAACACCACTGCAAGATTGTGGGCTGTCATTTTACTGTGTGGAGTTTTGGTGACAAGACTGAGCAGCTCCAGCAGCTGTTGTAGAAGCATTCTATTTGGAGGTGGCACCAACAGAAACAGAAGCTGGAATGCTTCAATCAACTTGGCACTGGATTCATCATTACGGATTTCTGCAAACAAGAATAATTCATGGTAGATAAATATAAATCAGAATTATTGTAATTATTAAAAAGGATACACTGACAGTAATGTTTCATGAAATACTTAGTAACTATTACAGACACTGACTAGTGTTGGGATGGTGGGATGGGATGGGATGGCTATAGGTAGTTATATTTATATTTCTTGTACATGAGATAGACAGCATGATGCAGCTGGCAAGGTAAATGTTTTAAGGTCATTCCACTGAAACAGAACCTGCATTGAGATTTTTGTGAAACTTTGCATATTGATTGTTTATCCTATAGGAACTTAACTTTTGAAATAAAAATGAGGGGTCCCCATGTTTGTTTAGGAGCAACAGCACCTTGTTTATACCCAATAAATTCTTACAATGGCACCATGATTTTGTAGTCACGATTGCTTGCTAAATTCATGTTTTTGACGATTGTTTTTTGTTCTACACTGAGAATTGGTCCATATTTATTTTACACAGAGAAATTTAGTACTCAATTTTTACAACAGAAAAAAAAGATAGGTCACCATACTCGTTTGCGAGAAAATGATGATTAACCTCAATGGCGAGGTCCAGCTGTAAAGAAAAAGCTGCCATTTTTCAATGCACGTGAGCTAATCACGCGTGAAATTATACGCAGTAGGGATGTGCAATGCAATACTAGGGAATGACCTTAAGAGAGTTCTCAATTAAAGATTAAAAAATGACAGGTAAACTTCTGCAGTAAGAGACTGTGGAACTAAACAATACAAAATAATTGAGCTTGAAAGCAAAACTTGCCTGTGATCTGTAAATAAGCATTCTGAGGAGCCTGTGTTAGGAGAGGTTCTGGGAGCTCACCAAGGAAGATCTTCAGAACAGATGCCACATCATGTGGAGAAAATCTGCCATTGTCAAAGTCAGCATTCTCTTCTTTGTCAATCAAATCTTTTAATTCTTCTTGCCTTTTCTTACTGCCTGAGACTCTGAACAAGCCTTCCTTGTTTACATCTGTAATGTAGTATATAAACAAATCAAAAACTTGTAATTTATTGACAATTATATTACCGTTGCCACCAAAAAAAGTTCTTGGCAACTTTTTACTCTTTTTTGAAAACTTCTGATAAGTTCTGTTTCAAATGGCCAATCAAACTGCGATAACTTGCCACCAGTTTCAAATGCTGACAACTGGGCATCAAATGATATTTTCATGTCATCATATCTATAACACACGTCTTAATCATGATTGGTTCTCTGCATGCCCATATTGACCCGTGGCCCTTGAGGGCAAAGGGTCTAATTGTTTTAGTATCACCCAACTAGTCAGACAGAAAAGGCAAGAATAAAGTTAGCAAATGCAAGTTGAACAAATATTTATTTGGGAATAAAACGAAAGAAAGTGTCATGCTCAATTGCGCCAATTTCGCTACTTGAGGACTATTACTAATAGTCCTCTAGTAACATAGCCAATTCAAATGCAGGATTTGCATTAGCCCGCTAGTTGGGTGATACTAATTACAGATAACCAATTACAACTGTTTGTAACTGGATACCGTTACCATCCACTTGTCAATTATCTGCCATTTATAGGCTTCCTTCCTAACATTTCTACAGCTTTTTTAACTTATTGAAAAGCACTACTGACATTTTTGCTTAAAAGAAGTTCTTAAAAGACTTAGTAATCTCAAAATTTGTTATTGAATGTGATTAATTAGTAATTGGATATTGTGTTGTACAATTTAGAGAGTAATCATGCTTGCAATGTCAAGTTGGCTTTGTGGTGTGTACTCATCCTCTCTTAACTCATACATTACTCCCTGAGTAGTGCTTTACTTGGTCCAATTACTATAATTACTATTGCTATACAGCTGGCCTTTTTCCCACTACAGCATGCCCATTCATTGGCTAGTTCATGGTCACATGACATCTAACAATGAAACTGTTTATCGCCAAATGCCACGAGCGGGCAACATTGCGAAAACTATGACGTCAAATGGGAAACAGTTCACTGTTACCTGCGAAATGTTGACTGCTGTTGCACATAATCAGGGTGTACGGTTGAAGGTCGCCTAGTGTTGTCACTGGAATGATCTCAGCGCGTTTTTCAAAATTCGCTTTTGTTTTGTTTTGCTATAAAATAAATCACTTAATGACTGGTCCCTTGGGGAACAGTGAAGTTTGTTCCCCTTGAATCTCGATGTTTCCCTCAACTTTGTCTCGGGAAATGAAATTCACTGTTCCCCTCGGGACCAGTCATTAAGTGTTAAATATTTTCCACAATAATGTTACAAACACAAGAAAATATCATTACATGAAACTTTATTGACTTACGCCTCTTCAAAAAATTAATAAGTGTTGAAATTCTGATTACCCCATCTTCTGTGAGTGAATGACCAAATATTTTATGGCTACCTAAAGAAAAAAAAGTAAACCATGTCAGGATTCTTCGTTTTCAGTTCTTCCTAATATAGGGTCTAAAAGTACTCACAAGTGACCATGAGTGAGATTACATCAAAAAATGTCAGTGATGTTACTATGACGTCATTAAGAAGTTATTGTGAGGTCATATCATTAAATAATGACCTTACCACCAAACTGAGGCTTAATTTACTAGTGTAGTAATCAAAGATTAGAGCAGTAGCTGTGCTTCACACTTCAATGTTTTCCTTTTCAAATATTGGCTGCTTATTTATTTGTGAAAGTAAAGAAAAATTCGCCTGATTTTACTAAACCAAGTGACACCCAACACTGTGTGTGGAGTTTGCATGCTTTGCTTGATCAAATAACAGATAAACCATTCCCGCCAGAAAATACGGCCTTTTGGCAACCTACAAAACTAGGTGGAAAATCTTGTACAGACTGGACTAGGATTGCATTACACCATGTGAACACAACTAGTGTAAATAGAACATGTCCGACAATTTTTGAAAACAAGTTGAAAAATAAATTTTGCGAGTTGCAGCTAGGCAAATGGCCATGATTTGTTGTCAGAAAACTAACTTACACCGGGATTGTGTAACTTACCAAAAGGCCATGATTTGTGGTCAGAATGGTTTATTTGTTAACATTCTTCAATTGTGAAAACAAGACGTAAATTTTTTGGCGACGCGCTGTCTGGCAGGTTGGCTGGCTGAAACTTTATTTTCTCAAGAAATATTTATTATAAGTTTTGACATTCTGAAATTGAACATTCAGTCTTGGAAACAAATCTTAAAGGAATGCTTTGCCTGGAAGTTTATAGTTTGAAAAGTTTAATTCATCAGAAGTGTATCACCTAGTCTAGGTGATATGCTTCTGAATTCTTTCATTAGCAGTGCTTTCAATAACATTCGAAGTAGATGTCTGCCAGTATAAAAGTAGGCGGCTCAGGATATATAACCTTTGCTAGGGGGGTCTGGGGGCATGTTTCCCCAGAAAATTTTGAAATTTAAACTCTCAGAAATAAGATTTCCAGCTTTCTGGGCATCAAAGTTATTAAAGTCGATGATGAATATGTGCTGGGACTGATCTTTTTCGTTTGCTGCCCGCAAATGATTTATCTCTGCTTGGGTTATCGAAGTACATTGGCTTCCTTCACAAAGTTCTGCAAGTGTAAAAACTGTGAACAGGCTTGTTGAATGAATTTCCATACGATGAACAAATAAAGTCTTTCATTCCTTTGATTGATGGCCCTTTGCGTGGCTCATGACTTTCCAAAAATTGTGAAGATGGCAAGGCCTTATCTGCGACTTCAGACCATATATTTTTAGAATCAGTTGGGTTGACTAGCAAAATTTCATCATTGGAAAAAAGCGTTTCGTTTTGTGCAATTGATATTCATTCGTAAGCAAAGAAGAACACAATAGGTTTATGAAAGAACAATTCCGAAGTCAAATAAATTTATTCAAATACCTGTTTTGCTTTCAAAAGAATGTAAATGAACGAGTCTGTCCAGACTGTATATGGATGCACACTTTGCTGCCATCTTTTCTTGACTGACCACATGGTAATAGTTTAAAAGCAAGGTTAAGTTTTATTACGATACTGCTGAAAATGGCTGAATGTTTTGCAATTTGCAATCATATTCGATGGATGTGTACGCTTTTATATACACAAACTGTCGAGGCAAATGTAAGAAATATTTTATCAGTTTATTTAAACTGAGAAATAGGTAGGCAGTAAATATTATCAGAGTTACACTTTTGAAGTTTTAGTCAACAAACACAGCCAAGTAGCCAGTGACTCGATGACTCACAGCCGCCGGAGCTCCGGCAGTAGCTGGCTTCTAATGAAAGCCCTGCATTAGTAGTTCAACCTCACATGCAGATTGTTATCTGGACTTATCGTTATCTGAGCCCCACTTTGTTTAATAAAATTACTGGGATTTTCTTGCCTTTCACAATCAAAAAAAGATCACATATGAAGCACGAAAGAACAGAAGGTCAACAGCCAATATTTGTTAAGGAAAAAAATCGAATTATGAACGCACAGGCAATGCTCTCAACTTTGATTACCACACTAGTAAATAGCCTGAGTTTGGTCACTGGTCAGGTCATTATTTGATTAAATGACCTCACAATGAGTACTTCTTAATGACATCATGATAACATCACCGACATTTTTTGATGTAATCTCACCCGTGGTCACTTGTGGTCATTTGTGGTCACTTGCGGTCACTCGTGATCACCCATGGTCACCCGTGGTCACTTGTAAGTACTTTCAGACCTTGTCTACATCCTACAGCCCGGAGTGTTAGCACAGTGTTCACGTTTGTATAGGGATCTGATCATGCGTCAAAAATAATCATTTTTGAAGAGCGCTAATTATAAAAACTTCATTTCTTGAATTAAATTACTGACATCTCAGGATTAACATTTGTCTCAGCGAGTCGGTGAATTTTTCCTCGTAGATCTGCTGACTGTCTGAAATCCTCACCGTGTCAACATGTAAAGACAAATTTTGCATTAAAAGAAATAGCTAGATGACAGACTAAATAGTTTCACACACAGGTCTCTCATACTTACTGTTATATTATCTGTAAGCTTGAGCTTACGTATATCTTGACTTCCTTTCTCGAAATCGTCGCAAAACAAGCCTATATTAAGGAATTTTTTAATTTCCCTCGATACCTAAAGTACATAAAGCTCAAAAGCTGTTAAGCTCAATAATGCAGATTTGTGAGCAAGGCAATGTTTTGTTTTGGACTGCAATCTTCTAGTCGGGGGTCTTTAGAGATCCTTACCTTTTCTGTTCATTATTTTGTTGATTTTTTCTGATGATTTGGAGAAAAAACTCCTCTGAGGTTTAAAATTGCTATCAATCTCTAGGTTTCTGGCCACATTTCCCGTATGCTCAAGTTGCTGTAAGTCCTCTAGCATGTTGATATCCAAGACTCTCGTAAGTCTGCTCAAGCACACTCTAGCGTGAGAATCCTTACACTCTTTCTTGTACATTTTTCTTCAAAAATACCATCAACAAAATTGTACGTACTGTATTTTGTCGGAAACGTTTTTTTTCTTTTTCGATGGCTTTGTCAGAAAGACCGCGTTTATTCTCACCTCACCAATCAAATTTAATTAACGGTTCAGCTGCTGACAGGAGGTTACTGACCAATCACGCGCTCAAGATAATTCAGCGGTTACGCTTAGCGGGCTCAACAATTCGAAGATGGCGGACGGCGGTTTTGCGAAGTAGAACACGGAGCAGAAAATTAGAAGGTCGTAACGTAAACTGAAAGACAGACTTTCAGTGAACAATATTGTAATGGATGACTTTTAGAATCTACAACCTGTAACAGGGCCAGCACACAGAAACCTCATCAGGAGTTCTAAGTTGTCATCTGACGACAATGGCTGCAGTACTCATTCCCTTGTGAAGTCTAACTCTGAGCTAAGCTTTTACCAGAGAGCTACTTTCTTCACGAATTGTGTGTTGACAGTGGATAATGATCAGGTGTTTATGGGTGAGTGCTACCGAGTATTGATGAATTTGAGGAATGTCCCAGGCTTCATACTTTGTGCGCGCTGGGACGTCAACACTTGGAAAGCTTGCTCTGTGAAATGTCTTCATTGTATTGCATATTGTGTTTATCACGAAAATTAATGGAATGCAGGTACCATTTCTATTATGATATTTTTCCCGCGACTCATAAATTATTGAAGAATTCTTCGTGGCAAAGATCAACAAGTAAGACTTTTATCGTCCTGTTGTTTGTGTTCCATCTACTTGCCTTTGTCGTATGTCAGCGTATGTGGCCCGGCCACCACCCGAAAATCACATAATTGATGTGTCTTTCTTCGACGATTGAAAACTGATTTTTTTTAGCTTGGTTTTAGAATATTTCAAAAATAAACCGAGCGCTTTTGAGACATTTATGGGCAGTGACGAACAATGGAAACTTGNTGGTCAAGATTCTCCCATACAGACCGACTAAGTTTGGTTAATAAGAGGTAAGCACTGTGAAGCAATTTTTAAAGGTAGTGCAAACAAACAATTTTGAACACCTTTTAGTTATTGTCATTGTGCCACTCACTAATGTCATAAGAGTTATATTTTCCTAAGTGTTCCAAGACTCCTGACTACTCTTTTTTAATTTCTACAGAAAAGGTTCGCTGTCTAAAAGCGAACATATTATTATATATTATTTTAAAATTCATTATTTTCAGTTTTCCTCAAAGCCGACCTCTTTTGAAATTTACTACAGCAGTCTTCCATCCTCAAGTCCATCCAGCTAATGGGTAAGCATGGTTTTACAGTTAGTTTATCTCAACATGCTTATTGACTGAATTTTTGCAAAAAAAGAGCTGTCAATTAATTCCTTCCTCTCCTGTCTGATTTGCCTTGAAAGAGATCTTGTCTGTTGTAAAGCAGCACATAATGATGTTGCTCTTGAAAATATACCCAGCCTGTCTTATGAAGCTCGATGAGGCGTAGAAATTTTCGTAGAGCTCTACGACTCTATGGTAGTATTTTGAATGTTTAAGCTCCGTTTCTCTCGGATATGCATACACCATAGAGTTTTAGAGGTGTATAGTTATTGTAGCAAATGTTATATCGCTTAGGGAATGTTGAGTGTTATTATGGATTGAAGTGTTTTAATAAATGAGATTTTACTGTCACGCCAGTAAAATATAGTTAATGGAGCGTGATGTATGTTCTGAATGAGCCGTTCATGGTGGCATCATTTTCTATAGAGCTATTGAGCAGTTATATTCCAAAGGTCAACAAACTGTAAGCCTTATTGTAGCTAAACCTAAAACATTGTAGCTTTGTTATCTTCTGAANGATTGTCTAAAACTTCAAATCACGGTTTGAATCATTGGAAAATTCATACAGCTCATCAATTTTGTGATTTTCAGTAATTATCTCCTCACTTTTGTGGTGAGATATTGAGTTCTTGCGTCAGAAATTCAAAGAATAACTACGGCACAGTGCAAGTGACTGTAAAACGGCCTTAGATGGCGTGATGTTGGAAACCCAGAGGGACTCCTATATGAAAAGGTCAGGTCATCATCTTGGGTACAAATCAAGGATTCTGGTCTCAATTAGGGTGTTGATGACAAAACATCACCATTCTGAGCTGTCAAAGTATCCTTTAATTAGTGCACTCAAAGAAATAATAATAAAAGAAACGCTCTCATTTAGTTCTGTTTTTAGGCTTGACTTCCGCCGATCTCTCGAGTTCGTGTGTCGGGTGTACAAGTGCACGCGGGATCCATCCTTGAATAGTGGCTAGTAATGGAACCTATTCCGTTTTAAATGGTATCTTTTAAGGGTCTAATGAAGCTCAAGCAGCACCCATATTAGTCTCCTTTAGGAGTTAAATTTAAATTTTCTGATGAGCATTCCTTCAAACGTTTTGATATGGGAGTTTCCCCTTGGGGTTCCAAATGTCTAACAGGAAGTGATGGAGTGATGGAGTGAAATCTTCCCTCCACTACAACTTGGAAAATAATATTTTCCAAGTTAAAAACATGCAAATGAGTGAAAAAAGTCCAGCTCAGTGTTTGAAATATAATTTGTAGTTAATTTACCGAGACTGAGGCAAATCAGAGCCAGAGAAGAGAAAAAAGGCCTAAAATTTGACATAGGGGCGGATATGCATTCGGCTCTTCAAATGTTCTCCAGATGTGAACTTTAAGTATTATCATGAAAAACAAATCAGCCACATTTTTCAAAAGGACAACTTTTGTAAACCATACAGTGGCGTCAAAAATTTATTTAAACATGTACATGTACAACCTTAAACATACAAAATGATCTCTTTCAGGCAAGTCCTAAATTTTATGAAGAGTTGTTTTTATAATGTAGAAACCTGGGGAGGACTAAATGAAGTGGCTGTTAATGTGTAAGTATTTCCTTTTTTCACCTTCTTATGATAAGCAATTTTTTGACTTTGTCTTAAATTTATCTTATGAGGCAGTTAGTTTTAGTATTTGAGTTTATTATATTGCTGGCTCCATGTTGGATAAAATGAACCAAATCATGCACTGTGATTGGCTACCAGAGTAGGCAAGATGGCACTATCCTGCGTGTGCAGGATTACCTGTTGTTTGTGTAAGAAAATGGTCTTCGTTATGCCACATAACAAATCTTTTTCACAATAGCTTCAGAAATTTTCACTTGCTCATTGGCTAATTTCATTGTCAATAAGCAGACAGACACATGAATTTATCATTAACATGATGCGCTTTTTGTCATTGTAAAAAGCAAATTGACGTCAGTTTTTCATGTGCTGTCCTGTTACTGAAAATGAATTTTGCATAACATTGTCAAAGTAGTCTGCGCCACAGCTACTTTGACAATGTTGTGATGAAATTCATGATCAATCACAGGACCGACGTATGAAAAGCTGTTGTCAATTTGTTAAATTGACCAAGCTTGTTTGGTGCAGATGGCTGAATATTGGCCTCATTCTTTTTTTGTATTAATCTCGGTCCATAAACATGCAATTGAGAACTTGGCCAATATCCAGCCATCTGCACCAAACAAGCTTGGTCAAAAACCGGTTACTATTGCCATTAATTGAGCTATTATTTCTCAATTCCTTTTCAGAGTTCATAGTGACATGGAGGAATTTAAACAAAAAGCTAAACAGTGTGCCACAGATGCTCTCCAGTTGTTTGATTCTGAAGTTAACCAAGACAACAGTTCAGGTACATTTTGCTTGCTCTGGGCATCCATGGAATATTGCTATTTATACCATGCGAAAGAAAATGCAGCCAATTAGAATACAGGAAAGCCACTGTATACTTGATGATATTACACCCATTGCAAACTTCCCATTGTGTGCTACATGAATTGTGATGGCCACTGTGTTTTCTATGGTATGGTATAACATAGTTATACAACATACACTTCTTTGTCATATCATGGAATATTCCACATAACTTATCACTTGAATGTGTTTTCTTGGTATACACACTCGCCTAAAGGCTTGCGTGTATACCGAGAAAATACTCGTGACTTGATCATGCTCTATTCCATGGTACATACATACATGAATGGATGTATACCACTCCACAGACTTGCCACAAGTCAATGTTC